ACTTTTCCCACTTTTCACACTACTTTTTGAATTCAGTGGTTTCAAAGTTTATTTGGGGCTGTGAAGCATGGGCACCAACCGTAGATCTGCTGGTTGGTTATGAAAAAAAAAAACTTGATCAATATGTGCTCACATGAGGTCCTGTCATTAATAATTTATGATTCAGTTCAGTAATCTAGTGTGAGTGATAGACTTTTGTGTGAGTGCGTTTGAGGGGGTGTTAATGGGTTTTCGATGAAGTGATCTTTGTTTGTCTTTTTAAAGTTTTAACAAAAGTTAGAAGAAATGTCAAAGAAGAGCATCACAGTGAAAATGATGATTTAAAAGTTTGTAGGTTTCACCCACATCTCAGCTGTGCTGTATTCTGGCGCTCGCATCCTCGTTCCCCCCTTCAGCCTGTGGCAGAACTCCTCATCTATGTGAAGACCGGGGTATGGGGAAGCTCCTGTTGGGCAAAGAAACACATCTCAATACATCAATACATGAATGCACCCTAAAACAAATAGCAAAGAAGTGAATTAACATCTCCTTGACAGTCTTAAATAAAAGTTTAAGATCAGAGGATTCACAAACTACTTGCAGAGGATTGTTATTGTGTCACGTTTCTGTTATTTTGTCCACCCCTATGTATGTTCAGAAGAAGCACATCACTAAAAGTTTCTCACCCAAAGAGAAGATCTCCCACAGCAGGATGCCGTAGGACCACACGTCACTCTGGGTGGTGAACACCTTGTCAAAGATGGACTCAGGAGACATCCACTTCAGAGGGAGGCGGGCCTGTCAGCCAATCAGAGCACAAGAAAGCATCATTCACTGGAGGAAACTTTAAAATGTGGCTGGCTGAAAAGTCATTAGATCTATTTGAAGAAAGCAAGTTTAAGCTGGATGTGCAAAGTTGTATCTGGTATATCTAGTAAAGAAAACATTTTCTCTTCATTATCACACTCAAGCCTAATATTTGAATGCTTTAAAAGCAGCGAACAAAATGGAAATCATCTGTCATTTTCTGAAAGATGCACATTTTCATTTTGAAAGCCCATTTCTCATGAGCACTCACATCTCCCTTGCGAACGTAGTCTGGGTCTTTGTAGATGTCTCTGGCTAGTCCGAAGTCACAGATCTTCACCACTTTATTGTCAGACAGCAGAATGTTTCGTGCTGCCAGGTCTCTATGAATACACTGATGTAGGTGCACACAGAAAACAAATCATTACATTGATGAAACACACATTTGTACACGTACGCAGTTGCAGAATAGCAAAATGTCAGACCTTGCGGGAGGCCAGAAACTCCATTCCTCGTGCCACCTGAAAGCTGAAACAAATCAGATCCTCCAGGAAAAGAGGGGAGTTGGAGGCACATTTGGGATCTAGAAGAAAAAGAAAGAGAAGAGACACACGGGTGTAAGAAAAGCCGTCTCATTATTTGGTAAGAAAATGTTCTCCAAGCTGAAGTCTCACCGAGGCCATTATCTTTCTTGCCTTTGTCATCAATCTCTGCTCTGATGCTGCTCTGCTTGTCAGAGGCGCTACTGACACAACCTCCATCTTTGTCTCCGGCCGGCTGAGATAGGAAGAAATCAATTCACTCTTATTAAACATTGTGCGACAGAGAGCAAAAATTAAAACAGTTAAGGGTTAAGATGGACTGTGAAAAAGAGGCTAATATGTCTTTAGGTTTTGATTCTTTTGTCAGGGTAGAAATTCATAAACATATTTGTTCTGTGACCGTGTGAACCTGTGAAAATATTAAGGAAGTAAATGTGCTGCTCAGAAGAAGATAATGTCTTCAAACCTCAAGCAGAAGTTGCAAAAGTCAGTTTTTGAGTGAATGATTTTGTAATTGTGTGCAGCCCAAAAGAGTGATTCGGTTGTTCTCTCAACCGCAGGTAGTAGCTACAGTCCAAAGGCTGGTGTGAACTCTGTTAACACCACAGAGGCCCTGTTTTGTGAGAAATGGGGACGTTATAAGATCCTCTTTATAAGGTGAAGCTTCTGAACTCACTCGGTTATGTACAAACACGTCTCTCTTGTTCTTCAAGAAGGTAGAAAGGTTCCCAAAGCGACAGTACTCGACAATGACCATGAGCGGTCCTGTACACACAGAAAACACACACATGTTACTGTAATAACATGCACACAGGTACAGACAGCTCAGAAACACCTCAATATTCATGTAAAATAATATGTGCAAACAAGAAAAGGCATCATTCGAGATGCACAAATGCATGTAAAACACACACCTCCTGGCTTGGTGCAGGCTCCCAGGAGGTTGACGACATTCAGGTGGTTTCCAATGTGGTTGAGGATCTTCAGTTCAGTCATCAGAGCCTTGTGTTCGCTGGCTGTAGCTCCCTCTGGTGGGCAAAAGGCAGAGAAGTCAAACACACGGCAGAAATGTTCTGCACAGGATTGCAATTTCATTTTTGATAGAATATGAGGCACATGATGTGATACCTTTGAGCATCTTAACAGCCACAGTCTTGCAGCTGGTAGCATTGTCTATACCGAACGCTGATGCCTGCATCACTTTCCCAAAAGCTCCACGGCCCAGAGGTTTCCCTGAGAGAGACACAGTGTGAGAGTGGGAATGACAAGGAAACAGGAGGTGTGTTCTTGTCTCTAATTGAACAACTCTATTAATTATTATGCTTTTCCATTGCGGATGTGAGATGCTGATAAGAGAAGATTTCAGACCCCATCAAGTGTCCATCTAAGTGAGTCCCACCCTGATGATAGTGAGAGCTGATTAGTTGTGGTAAACACAGTTTACAGACCCCATACTGGAGTTGATTAGCACAACACAGACAACACAGACATAAAGTCTGATTAATGGAATGAGAGTCACTCCCAACAATAAACTGATAAGGCCTATGAGAAAATGCTTGCATTGGACCTCCCTTCTCTCCCGCTGCATTCCCAAAGTCTTTGTACTCTCAGCTCACAGGAGCACGTCAGGCTAAATACATCAAGTTTGCAATTTTTGAACGAATTAAATAAGCATACCTAATTTAAGGCGCTCACGGGGGAACTCCCATTGGTTGGGGTCATATTGCAGTCTGTCACACTGCTCCTCTATTGGTCCCTCTCCTGTGTCCAGTATGATCGACAAGTATTCTGGTTTGGTGTTGGAGCTGTTGGGCTGTGGAAAAATAAGAAAACTTAATCATGAAGTTTGGTCTCCAGACAAGAGGCAGACAAACAAAAATCACACCTGTGCTAGTTTAGAGTGATTCTTATTTTACAGTTTCTTAAAAGACGAGGTTCTTGTGGGACAAACAGATTTGTAGGCCCAGACCAGATCTACATTATGAATAAATATTATATGCAGATTTGTAGTTGTGGTTAATTTGTGACCTTTTTGAAAATGTTTGTGCTTACAGGAAAGTCTAGCATCTAAGGCGTAAGAGTGTGCAGTTAAAAGGCATTGTACTTATGAG